TCATCGTGTCCCTGGAGAGAGCCAGTGTGTCTGTGTGTGTGTGTGTGTGTGTGTGTGTGTGTGACAGATGAAGTCATGCAACGGCTCTGTAATTCACAGTTGTCAGGATCAGTGCTCACACCTCATATAACAGAACGAGGACAGAAGATGATTGAAAATGTCATATATCACTGAATAAAGTCCAATGATTACTACACTGAAAAAGTCAAATATGGTTTTGTCTGAAGTGCCCATTTGCAGAATAGTCTATAAATGAAGAATAATAAATAATACAATTGTCCTATATATACTACACTATACTGTATTGTATACTGTATTAAACAACACTACTAGAAAACAGCAGTACGGTTCAATAACATGAGCTGAGCAGCTCTGAGCCGACGTCAGGGACTGACACTGAAAAGATGAGATCATTCAGATCGAACTCATGCAAATAAATAACAACAAATGTCAGGTTTGTGACTGGACAAAGAGAGTGAGGATCAAACACATTCTGGACTATGGAAGAATAATCTAGAATACTGGAGAATAATCTAGAATACTGGAGAATAATCTAGGATACAAATTAAATTAAATACAATTCAATTCTTGTCATTAACGGTGTGGACCACTGACAGTTATTCAAGTGTCAGTTGTTGTATTTTCTCTTTGATCCTCACAACTTTGGAATCCAGTCGTAGCCAGATGAGACAGTCCAGTATACCGGCTGGTTAGAGTACATGTCATTGGTGGTTTCCATAATGACATCATTAAGATATGGATTTATTCAGACAGGACGCCACTGAAGGTCTAGGTGAGAAATGCATATTTAACATCCAGTAATGTGCAGGTTTCAGTCTGTGCAGTAATTGACGGAGCAAAACTGCGTGTGTGGTGCGTTGTGTGTGAGTGTAGGTCACGTGACATCGTTTTAAAAGTTAAGTATCTGTTTTTCGCCTGAAGGAATGAAGCATCTTCTCAGGCAATTCATGAATCATAGATTCAATCTCAGAACAGGAGAAATGACACTTTCTCCACGGCCGTGAAGACGGAGAGAGGGACGAGTGCACCGCGAAGATGGCCGCACCGTGAAGATGACCGCACCGTGAAGACGACACGTGGCCACTGACAGACACACGTTAGACATAACAGAGTTTGACCGATGACCCCACTGATGAAGGAAACCATTTCACTGTGACCCTGACGCACGTCACCTCCCTGGTCTCTCTTTCCTCCTTCCACTCACTGACACACAGTACGTACAGTCTGTAATTGAAGTGTCTCCTGAGCTGGGAGCTAATGGAGCCGGATGACACGGGGTCGACTCCTGATGATGTTAAACGGCTGAACAGACGGCAACATTTCTCTCTTAATAAGTCTGAGCTTTTCAATTAATTAGTGAAATTGGGTCCACGACTGTGGAGCGAGGCGGGGGGAGCTACGCGCTGACTGAGTCATATGACTGTAGTTTCTTTTAATAATCCCCAGGTAACAAATAAATAAAGAGTCCATTGTGAAGTTAACAGGCTGTAATGAATTAAAAATCTAATTTGAGAGAGATTGGTGCTTTAATTAAAGAGGGAACTCCTGGTGGTGGGTGTTTGACTGTCCAATCCTACGCTGCCTTAATTAAATCAAATCAAATAATTGATCAGTCAAACTGAACCTGAAATGATAAGACGAGCATAAGAATATACTGGACTAAGGCAGGAAGACATGAAGTCGAATTCAGACTGGGTCTGGCTGTCCAATCAGATTCACTCTTGCTGTTCATTAGTTTCCTCCTTCTCACCAACCTTAGAAATACAAGCATAGTTTAAAATCTGACGTCTTCCAAGAACAAGAAGACTTGGACTTTGGTATTGAGACGACTGAGACAAAAGTGAAATAATGACAGAAACGTTGACGCTGGTTACAAGAAGCGTGCAACATGAAGGATGGAGCGTGACCATCGGACACAGTCTAAAATATGGCAGAACAAGTTGACGGAGCTTCAGTCACCCACACTCAGACAGCCAGCTAATATCCACAGACCCTGACGGATCCTGCAGAAATGTCACAGCATTTATCCCAGCCTCCTTACTGCAGCGCAGCAGGAGCCGTTGACTGCGGAGATAAGAGCCGCCATTATCCACAGCAATCAGGAAAATGAGTCTTTAATTGGGAACATGGAGCTGTGAGCAGTTTAACTCAGTCACAGAAGTATGTTCTTACTATTCCACGTCCTGTTTCTTGGGACGCTGCTAAACCTACGGTAACCAACAGGAACTGAGAATTGTGGGTGTTTTTTTAGACGACGGTTCCTGGAAAAAAAAGGGAATTCCAAATCACTGGTCCACAGCTGTGTTAGTGTTCTTCAGCTGCACTCCTGCTACACCTGACTTTACTAACACAGTGACAGCTGAACACTCCCCCAGGGGGAAAAATAGGTTCCTGCCAGTGTCCAACGTTACAGGCTTGATATGAATATATTGTCAGTGCAAATGCAGCAGCTGGGAATGTAGAAAAAACACACACAAAAGAAAGCATTGAATACAAGTGCTTTACAGAGGTGAAAGTAAAAGCTAGTATTTAAATGGTCGCCAATATGACTCATTTGAATTTTTTGTTTGTTTTTGCCAAAAATAAAATGTATTTAAAATTTGTTAGATATTATTTATCCTCATTATTTTACTTTTTTTAAGTTTCAAAAAAAAAAAATTAGTCTCCAGTAGTTAAAGTCACACAAACTGAATTAAAAAGTATAAATCCAGTCTTTCCCCAACTGTTGTCGATTCATCTTTTACCAACTTTTTTTTTGTACATTCCCCCGCTGCAGAATTCAACTGAATCATTTATCTGTGAAGCACAATTTGAACTCATCAGGATGATTCATCTCACAGTCACAGTCACTTTCATTAAAAGGAGTTTCTTTTTTTTTCTTTGTCCAGAAATAGATTCTCGAGCGTCTCATTTTTTAAAATTCACATATGAGACCAACGTGTCCATATGTCATCTCCGTCTCCCACTCACTGACATTACATTTCTATATTTTCAAAGAAAGGATATGCAGAGGCTAATTTTATCCAACGTGTGCGTCACTCCACCATTGTCTGCCCACTTCATTCTTCGTCTTTCCAGAGAGTTCCAACAGTTTGATGAAAATATTTTCACTTTTTCTACATGAACAAAAATTACTTACTAGAAAATGTACGTGAAATTCTTTGAAAAACTACAGTTGGATTGGCCAAAACATGTTAGAAGTATGTTCGTTTGTCTGTTTTAAGATCACGTTGTTTTGCCTGACTGTCGTGCTCTTCTGTTGACAGACTGTTCAACCTGCAGTGACGACTCCGCACCACTGGAATAATAAATCATACAGCTGCACTGTGAATGGCTGACCGTCGTCTCCTTGACCCCCCCCAGGATAAGCCCCAAAGGAACCATTAGCCTGTGATGCAACTCATCTCGAAACGCAGAGAAACATAAATGTTACTAATGAGACTGAACGAGTGTGAGAGTCCGACTCTCCTCTCTCTGTGACCTTCCACCTCCAATCCCCTCTCTTCCGGAGCGCTCCCCCCCCGCCCCCCCATCCTCCCCCTCAGTCCTCTACACACTAATTAAGTCTGTTTTATTGTTTTTATGTAAACGAGTCTGTGACCTGTTCCATTTCTAATGATGGAGTCTCACTCTGGCAGAGAGCCTTGAAAGCAAAACAACAAAACTGGTTGAAAACCAAATGACTGCAGGTCACTGACGACCGCAGTTTAAAATCCAGACATGAACCACTGATCCTTGGTTTTAATAAATAGCTGAAAGGGTATATTTTTATATATTTTATATTTATATTGAAATTAGGACTGGGCAACGGTTAAAATTTGAATGGTGATTAATCACATTATTTCTTGTGTCATGACAAAATCCAATGATTGAGCAACAGACGTTTACTAATAATAAATATATAACAAATAATAAAAACGCTAACGTGCGATAAAATCATTGTCAGCATAAATTATGTTTTATAAGTTATATTTTTTTATTATTATTTTTAGGGCTGAACAAGTTACTGTGTTATTATCAGGTCGACGTATGGCGCGTTATTCTTTTTTTTTTTGAGTCAGTCTTTGTGCGAGGTCCAGTGAAGGTGCGTGTCCTGACCAGACGGCTGTGTCTTTCACACAGTGTCAACTGTAATTATCTCCAAGGACGACTCAGCTGAAGCTGAATGAAGGTACGAACGGATCGCCTTCTGTGAAGAGGTCGTTTGTTCAGTAACACCGAAACTTATTTAAATATATAAAAGCACAGACTTTGAAACTTTCTCACCGCCAAAAAGTTATTTTACACACACAAAAAAAGATCTTGTAACAAAGAGTCAGATTTGATATTTTGTCCCTGAGAGTTTGGTGAAGGTGAAGGTTTGCACGCACGGTGTCTGCTCCTCCTGGGGTTTGAACAGAGATGTTTTTAAGAAGATGTGGAAGAAAAATAAAATAAGAAAAAGTAATAATGACTGTTTGGGTCTATTTCAACGGAAATATAGAGGTAAAAAAACATTTCAAACAGAAAAGAGACTTTTAAAGGATTATGATCGCATACAAAGAGAGTTGATGATAAACAGACATCGTGGTTACGTCGTGTGATAGTTTGATTTTGTTTGGACTTTTTACTACCTAATGGCTTTGTCCAGTTTGCTGTGAAGGTGAAAAGAGCGAGAGGAGAAGAAAATATTCGTGGAATTATTGAAGAAGAAAGAAGAGTCTATTTAATGGGAGGCTTTTCTAAATGAACGTACGACAGTGGTTGAAAACGCAGTGTTTCCAATGAAAATGTAGCATGTGTTTGCTTCAGCAACAAACCGTCTCACAGTCCAGGGTTAAATCTGCAGAGACTATTCATATACACCGTTGTTTTAGTCTAAAACTCCTTTGTGACTTTGATCATTATTAAATGGCACGTTTGTATCAAAGGACGTTGAAGGAGTGGTAGAATGAAGTACAGTGACGTGTGTATTGTGTATCAGTTCTGATAGTACTCACCATAGAGTTCTGGTGATGGAGAAGCTCCTGTCAGTTCTACAAAGAAACAGAGGATCAATGAGTTATTGATTTGAATATCCTAGTGTTTGATTTTCAGTTTCTTCCGTCCACTTCCTCCTCGTCAACTACCAACTGCTAACAGAGCCGCGGCAGAATAAACGAAACAACAGAGTCTAGAGACGACTCTCGAAGGTCAGAGTCTGTTCTAAAAGCCATCTTTTTGTCTTGAGTGGAAACATGATAAAATGATTAAAGCTCCGCAGCACGTTCAAGATTAAGATTTCTTTATTCTTTCTACAAAATGTGAAGAACATTTGAAAGGAAACTGGAGTTCAGTCCTGAGACAATTTCAATCGTCCAGAATTCTACAAAGGAGGAATTCACTGATTAAAAAAACCCCTTGGACTTAATGTGGGGATACACAGAGATATAATGGTTATTTTTGTAAAGTTTTTTTTTTAAATTGTCCTCAAACACCCTCCTTTATTTATTTTGTATTATTTTTTAAATGTGTTTATTAGCTGGAACTCTGGTTTCTCGTTGAATCTTTTCTTTTCTTTTCTTTTCTGGATGGTTCTAGTCCACGGCGTACTTCAGACAGACTGATTATAGGATGAAGCTGGTATGCAGTAATTCATGTATTCACTGCAACAATAGTATTGGAGAGGTCTTTTTCACAGCGGGTGTTCAGCAGTGCTCTGTGTTCACAGTGGCTGCCAGAGTACTGCAGTGAATAGCAGTGATTAGGCCGGGGAGGTCCACCACCTGGATTAATGTCCTGAGCAGACGCTGGTGGTGGACAATTAAACTGCTGCTGATTACTGACCCACTGTTGTTCCTCAACGTTAGGCCAAAATGACTGATGTGCTGCCGACACTCACACACACACACAAACAGTGGCAGTAAACACTGAGGTGAGTCGGTTTGTTGGTGCGTGAAGCCATGTGACTCTGTGATTATTTCAGTTTCTGTCTCTTGATGAAACGCTCAATTTTCCTTTTCACTTTCACGGTCAGGTTGAGCACCGCCACCAGACATTTATGAAAAACGTAGTTCAACATAATGTCGTTTATTCAGTTGATGTAAAGAGGAAATCAGACAAGTTTTTTTTTCTCTGTCTAAATATTCAACCATCTGACTAACAGATAGGATTTTACATATGAAAAAGAGAGGAAAAAAACCCTCAAATTCACTGATGGCCAAAATTAAAAACTGGGATGAAGATGCGGCCAAACTCAATATTTATTGAAACATTAACTGGTAATGTGAATGTTTTCCCTTCTCTACAGTTATGAATGTTACATTTTTTCATATGGAAACAAACTCTAGTTTTGCATAAACATTAAATGTGGAACAACCAAAACTTACTATTATAAACACATGAGAAATTAAATTTGAAATAAGCCACACATCAGTAGTATTTGTTTGTTATTGTCTCTCTATCTTTAACATTTCCAGTTCCTTTTTAATGTAAATCTTTTTTTTACAGGCCAACAACAACAAAAACTAAATTGTGTAAGACTTGGCGGGATGAAGTTGTCGTCTGACACGGTAACTAAACTTGTTGTCGTCTGACGGCACACTGTCATTAACTAAGACGTGGCCTGGACGTGTCTATTTGAAATAGAAACAGTGACATTAAGCCCCGGCTCGGCCGTGTTTGTTGTGTTGAAGATGGAAGTTCTCACAGTGACAGTCAGCGGTATGCTCCGTGCTGACACAGGCAACACTGTGTTTTGGAGTAGACAGAGCAGCAAAGGGAAACGGACCATCACATAAACAGGTGCACCCCCATGTACTGAGGACAACATGACACTGAGGGAGTGAAGGACGTGACAAAAGACACATGCTACTGTCCTAATTAGTAGCTGAAGCCCTAGTGGAATATGGACGATTTATCAACCTTTAATAAACAAAACAAACCAAGCTAACATTTATCTTTAACCACTGAATCTGCTAGTTATATTGATGAAGTATAATCTGACTTAGATTTAATCCTAAATCCAAACTAAATCTTGACATCTGAAAATACCCTCTTACTCAGATGGGAACAATCAAAACTGTCTCCACTGAAACTAACAAGCTACGTCCCCACAAGGATAGTTATACAAGAAACACACACACACACATACACACACTGACAGCAGCCCTCATGCTGGGTCAGTGCTGTGGGTAACCTGTGGTCATGTGACGCACCTGTTTAAGGACAGGTGAAATATATAACAGCTATTTCTCACACAACAATCATTAAACATCGCCATGACAACGTAAGTCTTCAAATTTAAAATCTTCTCACAGAGTTTGTTTCAGAACATTAGAACTCCGTTAACCTCCAGGCGAGACTTTTTTTTTAAAAAATTAAAAAAAAAAAAAACTAAACCTATGGTGCGTGGTCCTGTCTGCTGCCCGCCCGGTCCGTATAACGACACCACTGCTGTCTCTGCACCTGTGTGACGGCGTTTGTCACATGACTGAACAATCAAACAAAGGGTGTGCGTTAATCCTCAACTCTCTTCTTACCCTCCGTAGGCTCCGAACGTGAAACTCCGTCTCCTCCTCTCCATGCTGATGAACAGCTCTTTTCACAGATGCAGGAAATCACTGCAGGCTGCAGCACATCTGCACAACAACACTGACCGGCCGTCCTCCAGACACTCGTCCAACTCTGTCCGTCTGCTCTTTTTTTTTTCCTCCTCCTGTGCTACGTCAGCCCCCATCCGCTGTGTTTTGTCTGCTGGTATTTAGTGTCCGTACACACTCCCACCACCGTGTCCCTGATGTACTCCAACTGTCTCTGAGTGATTAAAACACAGATGTCCTATAAAAACGTCTCTCTTTACTGACGACACCAAACTGTTTGGCTCTGATCAACCTTTAAAAACTGAACATCTTTTTACCTAAATGATCTTATGCTCATGATCGAAAGTTTGTCTTTTGAAAAGTGGAAGGAAAGTGAAAGTGAACTCCTTGTCATTGTGACACTCCACACGACCAGATGTGACCTCTGCTGTTAACCCATCACCCACACGACCAGATGGGACCTCTGCTGTTAACCCATCACCAAAGTGAACAGTGGGCAGCTCTAAGCACCCGGGGAGCAGTGTGTGGTCAGAGCCCCTCAGTGGTAACTTGGACTCGAATCTGAAACCTTCCGGACCCATGTTCGCTTCCTTAACCACCAAGCCACCACTGTCCTATTTGATATTTAGTTCTAGTAATTATTTGTTTTCAAAGTAGTGGAAAATCGAAGGGTTACTTTTTGTTGTCCAACTTAATCATTACTAATACTATAAATGAGTTAGATGCACATTCTTAGATTCTTGTTACCACTGGCCCTGTGGTGGGTTGTTGGTTCAATACCATAAAAGTGTCTGGAGATAATGTTATGTCGAAATTTGGTTCCATAAAAGTTGAATTTATACTGTTATATAACTATAATTTTTGACTGCGTTATATTTATTCTGTCTAATCAGACATTTTATCCCCGTTTGGGTCACTGTTCCTCGTTCAGTCAGAAGAGAACAATCCTGTGATTTCACTTCATTTTCTCCTCCTCCTCCCTCTTTCCCATCTCTCGTCCTCCTCTTTCGTCCTCATCCTTCACTGTCCTGCGGCCTGGATGTCCATCACCTGTCTTCTCACACTCAGGGTGACCCCGACGACCTCCAGTCAACCTTTTATGATTCCATTATGTCTGACTGGACTTTTTCCAGGCGTGGGCCATAAATCAAATCAGAAGGTTGGAGGAGAGGACACAGGAATGGCTGCTGCGTCCACAGTGTCCTCATCAAGGTCTTGCACAGCTCTTCTGCTGACTGTGGTGACGACTGTCCACTGAAACACCACCAGGTGTCTTCCCCTCCCAAAGGCTTTACAACAGAACAAATATTGGGACACGATAAATTACAGCTGACGTTGTTGCACTGCTGATTTTCAGAATTTACATGAGTTCCTTCAGCGAGGCATTGATTTATGATTTGAACCAGAACATTTTGTTCTATAGTTCTGTATATTTGTTGTATGTGAAGTAAAAATAAACCGATTTTCATTCCTGACTCACTGCCTGTCTGGTGATGTAAGTACAAAAAAAACGCTTAAAAAATGTCCTGATTAGTTATTATTTCTAGACATTTAAAAGTACATTTGCTATAAAAACATTTTTCTCAATTTTTAATATGAAGAAAATTGAAAGAATATGAATCTCTCTCTTTGCAGACGACACCAAACTGTCTCTGAAGATCGATCTTTTAAAATGAAGGCTTTTTACTTCAGAAATGATCTATGTACGACAACTGGTTACAACAAATGCCACAACAATTTGTTTACTGTTACTATTTTAAGATTTAAGATTAAATAATACATTTGCCATGAAAAAAAGTTTTTTTCTTAATGTCCAACATTCTATTTGTGCCAATTATCTAAAAGCTTTTACTTTTATTGCACGGAAATGTCAGGCCTCTTATGCACAGTGGGGATGTGTTGTTGTTGTTGTTGTTGTTGTTGTTGTGATGCAGCTGAGGAAAATAACAGTCCTGTACTGGGAGTCCACCATGTACAGAGCAGCTCGGTCTTCTAAGTCCGTCTGTGTCTCTCTGTCAGTGGTGTTCTCTTTGAAGGCAAATACTTTGTTTGCAAAACGCGTCCGGAGAAAAAGCAGATTAAAAAGCAGTTTATAAAAGAGATAAATGAAGCTGATGAGACGAAAAGGTTTAATATGTTGTGAGGAAATAAACGGACCGAGCGGAGAACCATCTTCAAGAGAGGAACAGGTTTGTACAAATATAAATCTATCACTCATCACTGCTGTTCCTTTATATAATATATTCACTGACTAACGTTTGGTATAAATCACTGCATAAGAAATGTTGCTTTTCCCTGAACTTAAATTAAGGTGTAAACTTTATATTTCAGCAGCTACACACAGCCGTGGAACTCTGTGCTATAATTAGCCTGGATCGTGATGATTGACAGGAGACCTAGTTCTCTGTGGACCACTGCTCTCCTCCTCACTTCAATATACAACCTGTTCTTGTGAAACATGTTTTTAAGTGAGTCAGTTAAAACTATATTTTGGCAATTTATATTCAAACCATTCCTCCTGAATAACTAGACAATTTATAACTTATAGAACAGGACATCATGGCTAATGTTTGAATCATAACTAATTGTAGAAAATGTGTTTGTGTTTAGTCAAGAAGCCAGAGAATGAACAGAATGTTGATCGTTTTTATCAACCAGTCACAGTAAAATGTCACCTTTGACCTTTGACGACCAAACCAAACCACATTTATGTTGTTAAAAGTACTAGAGAAAATAAATTTGAAAACAACAACAACATTCTGAATACATGATATCTGCAGTCACAGTGGAAACCATGACGCAGGCATAAAAACACTCTTATCAAATTCCAACACACACACACACACACTTGGCATTCAGAGCTCAGAAATGTAACAATAGTCATGGCGGTGCCAGCTGCTACACACAACGGTAGGAACCACGCATACACATGTCCAGGTGGCTGTGGTGTGACACACACTCAGGCTTCACCGAAGGACACGACACACACTCTACACCTAATCCAACGCTGCTCAGGATTCACATTCAGACCAGAACCAATCCTCCCGTGTCACAGGTCTGGCTTATTTTTCATTTCCACTGAATAGTCAATAGGCTGAAAACCCAGGGCTATGTTACCTTTCAGTCCGGAACCAAAGGCCATTCAGGATGGGGTGTGTTTTGAGGGAAGATGGATGACAGGAAAGTCAAGGTTGGATCAAAGACAAAGGGACAGGAGATTAAAGGGAATTTAAATTCATAGCATTCAGGACTGAGTAAACAAATCCAGTAGCAGCGTCGCAGCTGTTTTATGCAAATTCCATTCATTAGACACAAGATTAATGTTATGGACAATGTCTGGACAGGTCCTGGTCCAGTAGGAGTATGTAGAATAGTCATTTAGGAAATGTGCTGCTCAGGCTCACACGGAGGGATGGTGGTTAGTGGTTCAGCCTTACAGCTAGATCTCAAAAACATGCACAATGTCAACACAGTCCAGGAGTAAACCCTCCCACGCCCAGTTAGCTGCAGCTTCCCACCCTGCCATGATAGCAGTTGGAACGTTTCTGTTTCAGAAGTCACTGTCACATCCTCACCAATGTGCCTTAAGTTTGAGAAGTTGTTGCTAGGTGGCAGTGCTGAGCTTAGAGTTCAGTGTCAGGACCGAGGTCAGTGTCTCAGACAGTAACATGGCAAAGGTGGAAGAGCAGGAGATGGTGGTTGAATTTTATCATTAAAATACTGCTGTGTACCAGCAGGTCACACTTTTTTGACCCCTCCTTTCTAAAAAATCCCCCAGGGCTGTGTCTTTAACCCACTGCTGTTTTGATGCCCATCTAAAATCCAATATTCTGACCTGTAGCTGTTATTCTTCCTGTCTTTGCCGCTGTATTTCTACTGGACTCCTAATGACATGATTAGCACTTTCACATCAGGTCATGGAAATGAATCACAGGACGATTGTTATCCGTTTGTGAGAGCCCGTCTTTGTTCTGACTTAGTTCTAGGTCCTCTTTGTACTGTCCGTCTCTTCTCACCGTGAGGACAGAGTCCAGGTCCAGTAATTAGTCCCTTGTGTGATGTACAGTCTGATGGTACTTGTCATCAGGGAAACTTCAGTTGAGGCCGCAGATGATTAATTACGCAGATCCAGTCTCGTTTCAAGGACATGTCACACGGTGCCACTGCTGCCCCCACCTCCTCCTCTCCCTCCTCTATCATTAGAATTAATGTACACATTGATTCACAGTCATGTGTACATCTAGGGGTCTTGAACCAGGGTTTGAACAATCATACAGCTCATTCTTAAATCAATGGTTCATTACCAACAACTCCAAAGATCCAATAACCAGGTCTGAAATTTAAGCCATAAATTCAGATCAAGATAGTTCCATATTAAAGCAGGTCCACCTTAAATGACCCCATCGCACTAAACAGTTCAGATTCTAATCCTTTTGTGATTTACAGTAGTTTTACAGGTTCATGCTAAGTCTTTTTTTTTTTTTTTTGCCGTTAGCATTTACAAACATGTTCCATTAGCAGCAGTGTGTGGACCCAGATGCGTTCGTGTCTTTTGTCCCTGGTCCCTCCTATAGATCTAAATACTGGCCCTGGTTAATTGGACATCTCTTACTCTAACATTGACTGGGTCACAGGTTACAGTTCACTACATGATCCAGCACTTTATGACCAAACAACATCAAGGCAGAGAGAGTGAGTTCAATGAAGCTGTGGCCTGTGAGTTTACCAGCCAGACATTAGGAGACTCTGTGGACTGTAATAACTGTGAATTATCAGACGGATCCCATTTCCCAACATGAGGCTTTAATATTATTGTCTGGGAAAAGATGGGCTTCTTTTGTCAAAGGTACAATGGACTCTGGATTTTAATTCAAATAAAAAGCCTAAGAGAAAATGTTTCATGTGGGATTTTGTCACATTTTCAGAAATGTCCGACTCTTCCGTGTGAGTTGGATGTAAAGGAGGACTGTCTGAAATCAGATTTTGAATTTTTTTTCTACTATTTGTTATTTTAGGCTGTGTTAATTTAATAAAG